TATTTAAGCTTTGTTTTTTAACAAAGTGTTATTCACTAGGAACAAATGAATCACATTTAAACAAAGAGTAACTGTTCAATGGAGACAGCAATCTTAGTTGAAATAATGATATTTTAAGACATTAATTTAGGTATTAATGCAAAGATAATATATATATAGATATGCAGGCAGGTAGAAACCTCCTTCCTAAATTGCTTGTAGCAGACAACTAATTTTTGAACCTCTGAGAAAATGTGCAAGGAGAGACATCTATAGCAAATTGATTACTTTCTATATTCCTTTCTCCCATTGCTGCCATCTGTAGGAAATACGCATTTGTGTTATATAAACAACAGAACGCGTATTGCATCCTGTATAGTTCAAGTGTTGCTATCTGGACCTGTTTGACCAATAAAATTAAATTTCAAGGTAACACAAACATACAGTACGCGTTTTGTTTATGTTATGATCAGTTGTACTTAGTAAAGATATAGTAGACAAACAGAAATATTGACAAACCTTTGGAAATTATTTTATATTTGTTAAATAAGTGATATCTATTTAATCAAACGGTTTTTATGAGATATTTAAATAAAATTAGATTTTTTAATTGGTACCACAATATGCAATTAAGATGTTGGGGTTGATGGTTTAAAGAATTATTAAAATTACTGTTTTTTATACATGAATTCTAGTAAACAAGGCAAATAAATTGCAACATTTTTTGGGAGGACTTTGTCCCAGATTCGATGTACTTTTTAGGCATAATTTTTATTTAAATTGCGTTAATTTACGTATGCCATTCAGTACAACTTGCACATTTAAACTTTGTCTAGTCAAATTCCTACCTCAGTTTTATTTGCATTGATTAATTTGTTTCTTTAAGTACAATATGCAGTATACATTGTTGATACTATAGTACGCATTTAGTGTTATCACGCATAAACAAAGTGATAAATTAGCAACAATCCAGAGGATAAAATGCGATGCGTACGACAGAGATGGTGCTGTTTGCACCTTTTCTCAAGACCTCAAAATTTATACCTGCTTGCATATCTATATATATATTATCTTTGACATTTTCTCAAGACCTCTAAATTTATACCTGCCTGCATATCTATATATATATTATCTTTGTATTAATGTTAAATAGTCCAAGTTTATTTTTTTATTTGCTGGACATGAGATAATGCACGAAAGCACCCTGAGCAGGGGCAGATACTGCAGGAACTTATGAGGGGTGAGTGAAACAGTTAATGCCCGTAGCGTGTATTTTTATCTTACTGACCCCTAAAAATTTCTTGATCACCCCTAGCTGGAAGCAGGGGAAATACTAAGAGAATATAAACCTTGATTTTGACGAAGTTTTTAGTTTTTAGTTATATCGTGCTCACCCTCAAAATTTAAGAGTTTTAATTCTGTATCGCTCTTTTTCTCTTTTTTATTAGCTTAGCTGTGGACTTACACTTACATCTCATATCATTGTTGAAAGACATAGATCACTATTCACTAAGCCAATATAATACTAAAATTCGCAGTAGATATCCTGAAGATTAGAACAGGCTAAAACAACTTGTAAATACGATACAATTAACCTTTAAATAGTTATTGATAATTCTTCATAAATCATACTAACGTGAATCCCAGATATATATGAATACATAGCCCGTCATAAGTTTTTTAATAATTCTTAAGAAACTTCTTTTTTTTAATTCAAGGTAAATTAATAGCCCTAAAATATGAATGCAATTGATATATTAATTTTAAACTCATTTTTTCGCGGCATTTGATCTTAAATATGTAATACAGCATTATAAAAAACTCTTGATATGTATTCATATATCTGGGATTCACTGTATATGAACAATTATAATTGATAATCATAAAGTCTAATTTATTAGCCTTTTAAATATAAAAAATATAAAAAATGATTTTAAATATAATATAAGATGAACACAAAATTAATAAGTTGATTTTCAACTGATAAAACTCTGTACTGTACAACGACATCAATTACTAAATAAATTGATTAAATGTCGTCTTCTTATTCCACAATTTTATTGGTCTCATTGTATATACTATATTCATGATGCCAAATTTTAAGTACATGTTTACTTTACTACATTTTCAGAACAATATTAATATTTTGAATATCAGGCTTATAACAAGAAGACTCTTCACATCATAAAGTATATCACAATCACATGATTAAATGGATCGAAGTGAGCCAACATAAATTTTTTTTAAAAATTGATTTAATATCATTTTTTAACTCAATGGCTATAGTTTTTTTTGTACTACTACAGTTTAAACGACATTTTTGAAGAAAAATTTTAAAATCCGTGAAATGAAAATCTATATACGAGGTCCAAACAATAATAATGACCGTTTAAAAATGTTGTGGTACCACCATGGTGCTTAATTTTTTTTAGAAATTCAATTAAAATAAAAAATACACAGGCCCGTAGCTAGGGATTTTTCAAGGGGGTATACGTCAAAATAAAGTAAATTGTACGCAAAATTGAATCTTGTATTTTTTCAATCATAATTCCTCATATTATTAAATAGCTATTATAGAAAAGAATAAAATTGTTTTGAACTTCAAAAATGTCCGAATAACATTTTTTCTCATATAATAGGCGCGTCAAATCAAAACTATAGAGGAATTATTACTCTACGAGGTCACAAAGTCGAACCATGGTAATGTCGCTTGAATTAAACATTTATCCTTCTTTCTAGTATCAAATTTAAGATCTATGAAAATTTCAAATTAATGAATCCTAACTGAAAAGCTGGACTTTTCAACAATTTTTCTTTAGATAACCAGAAAACTCTGGAATAAGAAGTCGACTTTTAAACTCAAGATAGCGCATAGAACACGAGGCACAGCAATTGTGCAATGTAAACAGACCAATATTTTACTTAATAAGTAATTTAATAACTTTCAAGTAAAGCTATTTGCTTGAAACGACATAAAATGCGCTTCAGAAATGCTATAATGTCGTCTTCCTATTCTACAGTTTTCTGGTTATGACTGTATATATTTTGCCTTTTTTAACGTTTTAGTTCCCAATTACAAGCAGAGAAACAAAAATTTGCATTTTAATATTTCCTTAATTGTTATGCATTATAAAACTCGGCTTAATTACTTTGAGTTAAAGGCATAGAATCCGTAAATGAATGTATGAATGAAAAATTGTACTTGCACGAATGGCCTAAAATAATTTGAGTCTCAGAGAAAATGGCATCAAAAAGGATGTAAGTGCCTGTAAAACTCTAGATACATATAACAAGAAAATCTTCTGTTTTCTTTTCCGTAAAGTTTATATATCTTCAAGCTGGAGTACATGAGTACAAAAAGCTTCTCCTGAACCTTAGCTATACTTCATCTATAATTTCAAATTACTGTTTGCCCTTAGATAGCTGAAAAAAGCATTAGCTTATTATGAAAGGGAAAAGGATAAGTTAATTAATCTGTATAATATGAAAGAAATGTTTAAAAGCCCTTTCCTTTCACATATACAAATAAAAACTGTCCAATGTTTATTTCAGCAAGCACTTATTATTATTTTTTTTAAGCGGCTCTGCGAGACTGCGACACTGGAAGTAAAATGATTTGAATTTAATCAAATGGAAATATGTTACTGAAGAAACATTTGTATTTTCAAATGTCGTCTTTTATGTCGTCTTCTTTTGTAAATCAAGAAAACAGAATTATGACGGGGCATTAATACAACTCAGCCAAATATTCGGCGCAGCCAAACAGAATCGTTTCTGTATTTTGGATTTAATGTTAATGGATAATATTTAAAGCCAAATGCATTTCTCTTTTGTAAGTTATTGTTTGAAAAATAGTTGCATAATCATAAATTAAAAATTGACTTGAAAGTGACATCATCATTTGATATAGATGTAAAATGGTCGAGGTCTAGGATAGTAAATATGTAAGGGTCAGGGTCTGTTCTATAAAACGATTTCGGGCCCCCCCTCCCCCCCCCCTTCTATCAATTTTGTACATGAACACTAATTTTCAGCAAAATTATTATTATTTATTTTGTATTATTAGGTTAGGTGAAGACAATTTCTGGGCCGAGCGCTGCGGCTATGATAGACTATTGGGCCGCGGCTAGGACCGTTCAAAATTAATTGGAGTGAGGGAGGGGCGGAGGGGGCCAGATATCGTTCTCTAGAAAACTACCATGTGCAAAAAATTTTATTAGAAAAGAATTCTTATGATTTAAACGGGGGCATTTAAGGGCGCTTATCCCTTCCCTTTGGTTGATGTTAAGGTGGCTGTTATACATAAATAAACTGAAGATCTTGTCAAAATGCTGGATAAAAATATTATCGTCACCGTATATTGTTCTCCAGAGGAGGATTACGATATTTTTCAGTGACCGGTGGGGTAAGATTAAAAAGTTGTACTACCAAAGTTAGTAGTCCCCCCCCCCCTGACATTTGATGTCATAACCCTGAAATGGTGGTGGGAGGGGTTTATTTGTTGCCCCTTTCCATTTTGATTACTGAAACAAACTTTTGACTAATTTTTACCAAAATTTTGTTTTAATCCATCCCCTTTAAAATCAAATCAAGGGAGCCCAGATGTTCCAGATGAGGACGGAGGTCTCTATCTTTCCTGGATGTTAAATCGTGACCTCTTGACTAACGTTCAAATTTATCAACTTAACACATTTATTAATCAACTCAGTTTAACTCCTCACTGAGTTTGTTCAAACTGCAGCAGACTCTTAAATGGATCACATAAAAAAGTATTTAAGCAGTTATTGCAATCTGGGAGTATTTTACACCTTTACTACTTGGTGTCTTCTTTAAATTTAAGTCTCTGTGAAACAAATGCTGTATACTAGATGATGCGTAATTATGTAATAAGGGGAGGGCGGGGGTCAAATATTTTGCTTTTAAAAACTGTCCGCATACACATGTTCAAAGTAATTGCGCATAATTCAAGGCTCACATTAAGTTTTAGAACCAAAAGATAAAGAGCGTCTTAAATGGATACCATTTTTATATAGTTGCAATTTTTTCAGACATTTAAATATTTAACAATGGTATTGATAAGTTTACGGTTACTGCCCAGGGTATTCGAAAGATCCTGTTCCCCAGTGCTAAGATATACCCGGATACAAGTTAGATCCTTCACCGTTTCTTCTCAATTCTACTGTTCCGTTGTCAAACCTAACGTGAATGTTGGAACTATTGGTCACGTTGATCACGGTAAAACTACCCTAACAGCTGCAATAACCAAGGTTCTCTCGGAGACTGGCGGAGCCAAATACGTTTCCTACGGAGAAATAGATAAGGCGGAGGAGGAGAGATTAAGAGGTATAACAATTAACATCTGCCACGTAGGATATGAAACTCCGGAGCGGAAATATAGTCACACGGACTGTCCTGGACACGCAGATTATATAAAGAATATGATTAGCGGAGCTAGTCAAATGGACGGAGCAATCCTTCTCCTAGCGGCGGATGATGGAGCTATGCCGCAAACTAGAGAACATTTACTCCTGGCTAAACAGGTTGGAGTCAAGAAAATTGTAATATTTATTAATAAAGCCGACAAGGTGGACGACGAGATGATTGAGTTGGTTCAGATGGAAGCCTTAGAGGTGGCCACGCAGTTTGGTTTTAGCGAGGAGACACCTATAGTAGTCGGATCAGCTAAACTTGCTCTTCAAGGGGACCAATCCCAGTTCGGAGTTCCGAGTATTAAAAAATTAATTGAAAAATTAGATTCTTGGATAGAGCTTCCATCCCGGGATGTTACTAGTCCGGTTCTGATGCCAATCGATAACATTATCTCCGTGACAGGACGCGGAACTATTGCTGTTGGGACGATCAAGCAAGGATCTCTTGTAAAAGATAGTCCTGTGAGTGTGGTCGGATTCGGACATACATTCTCCACATCCGTTGGAGGAATACAGAGATTTAAGGAGGATACTAAACAAGCCTTTGCTGGGGATCATATCGGAGTAAATCTAAGAAAACTTAAAGCCGGACAATTAAAGAAAGGAATGCTCATAGTAAAACCAGGATCAGTGAAACCAACAAATTTTTTCGAGGGAACTTGTTATTTCCTGACTAAATCCGAGGGAGGACGGAATAAACCCCTTCTCTCTGGGTATATACAGATGCTCTTTGTAGACACCTGGAGTATAGCTTTCAGACTTGATATTCCTGCTTCTGAGGGGACAATGATACTCCCCGGGGACCAGGCATCTGTTAAACTCTCTATGCTGAAGAACATGCCTCTATTCGTCGGCCAACGGTTTACCCTGCGTGAAAACCAAATGACGATTGCAAGCGGGATTGTTACTAAACTTAACGATCCAATTCCAACCCATTCGGGATCAAAACTTTCTAAATTTAAAATTCCCTCAGATTAATACTATTTCAGATAAGAACCTATGGCGGTTGCAAAGAATGAATTTTGATCAGATTTCCGGACAGACAGGATACTTAATACTCAACCAGGACGGAGCAATCCTTAGCTCAGGAGGAGACCTAGAGAACGACGAGAGAACCGCGGGGAATATTTTTAAACTCATTGCTGCAGGTTCTATATATTCTTCAATCTATTACTTATATTTAAAAAATAAAACTACTATCTGCATTCTTGATATATAGGAAAAAATAAATTTAGGGCGCAATTCACTGAGTGGGGTAAATAGAATAAGTTTTGGGAATAAAATATCAAAAGAATGAAACATAATTTACCTTTTGATGTTAAATTGTTAATTATTTAGGTTTCAAAATCCCGTTCTCAGTTTATCACTTGCAATCATGTTTATGCCTCTCAACGGAAATTTTTCATAATTTACTGAATAACTCGGAATCAAATAAAAAGAGTTTTTGGTTTTAATGTCACCAATTAAAAGTTCTCAGGTTACGTACTTTTTACTTCATTTGATGGCTGCTGAAGACCGGATGGTTTATGGATGAGATTTGAGATTTCAAATTTATTTGGGAACTTATTCTTTATACTTATAATCCCAAAAAGAACATTTAGTTAAACATATTTCAAGAAATTACAGAAAAATTAACTTATGTAATAGTTTTCCCGTATAAAGTTTTACATTTTTTTTTCAGCAACAAGTGGAGGATTAGGAAACGAGGTTGAGAAGATCAGCGTAAACTACGCAGAACACTCCTACGTCGTCTCCACAGCAAACAAGAAGATCCATATTGTAAAGAAGAACGTGTCCGACCTGTAGATCAGCATCATGGTGAAGGCACAGTCCTTCAACGAGGAGGTGACGAAGCACTCCGTGCATACTCTCGTCTTCAGATCCCTCAAGAGGACTCATGATATGTTCGTTACGGACCAGGTATTAACAGTGTTAAAATTATTAAATACTAAATTAATTTTTAAACCACTCGGTTTTTATTATATCGTACTTCTAGGCGGGTATATTTCAAGGAGGGCATATTTCAAGGAGGGTATATTTCTAGGAGGATATATTTCAAGGAGGGTGTATTTCAAGGAGGGTATATTTCAAGGAGGTTATATTTCAAGGAGGGTGTATTTCAAGGAGGGTATATTTCAAGGAGGGTATATTTCAAGGAGGGTGTATTTCAAGGAGGGTATATTTCGAGGAGTGTATATTTCAACTAATATATATTTCAAGGAGGGTATATTTCAACTAATATATATTTCAAGGAGGGTATATTTCAACTAATATATATTTCAANAGGAGGGCATATTTCAAGGAGGGTATATTTCTAGGAGGATATATTTCAAGGAGGGTGTATTTCAAGGAGGGTATATTTCAAGGAGGGTTAATTATATTTCTAAAAGTTGGGGGAATAATATTAAAGAACTGTCGTTATTTTAAAGGACTCCCATGGGAATTCAAATTTTACCTTTTAAACCTTCACCGCCTTTTCATCAACAAAAACAACCTATGATTCCCCCATCAGAGGGACGTTAAGTTACTGTACGAGTTACGTCCCTTGGGACAAATAAATAAAAGAACGACCCGCTCTTAGAAGTTTTTGTAAAAGAAGTGTCGCATTTTAATCTCAAAAGACGATAAAATTGTGTACAACTACTTTCGGGAAATTAAAACAGCATCACTTGTATTATTCTTAGGACCAAAATGTCGTCTTTTCAAGATTTGGATTAAACTCGTTCACAATAACCCTGAGGCAAAAGCCCAGTGGAGTTTGGTGCTGTCGGCGTAGAACAGGCTCTCTCTCTTGTACTTCTACGCCGATTGCGTGAAACTCCTCAGGGTTATTGCGAACGAGTTTAAACCAAATCTTGAAAACACGACATATCTGTAATTTTAATTAATCTATTGTTTGTATTTTCACGGTTTCCAAAATCACAATCTATCACAGGTACCCTGATAGAAAATAAATCCAGTCAGCTATTATTCCAATATTCATATCTTATCGTTCATAAAAAAAAAACAAATTGATTGCTTCTCCAGGGTTCTCTACCAGATGTAGATGAAGAATCAGACAGAGTGCTCAGGGGTGTGAAGAGCCAGGCTATGTACGGGAAGGTCAGAGAGGAGGTCGACCGGCTTAAGGTACGTAGTCCGTACATAGACTGTAGACCATGAAAATATATTATGTACATTGTACATGACGTTCATGGTAGACCTGTTTAAGATATGAACGCTGTATATTAACTATAGTATAGATCGGCTTAGTCTATGTACGGTTTATAAGTGTATGCTGATCATGATGTAAATTATAGACCGGATCAGAGTTCACTGTACATGCAGTGCGTTGTACATGAAGTATATTATTGTACAGTGAGAAGAATGTTCACTGTACATAAAGTGCATTGTAAATAAAATGTATCACAAACCGAATCAAGATATGTTTCCTACATGAAGTTTATTTTGGACTGGCTTGAAAAATGTACTCGACAATCTACGTGTATACTAGTATAGTTTAGACCGGGTTTGAACGCTGTACATGCAGAAAGAGAGTCGCGGTGGATATGGATACTGGAATATCGTGTAAAGGTTCTTGACGTCTAAAATTAATTATTTCTAGAATATGCCTGATTACCAGAGACAGGGTGAGGTTGGGTCGGATAAGGCGGAGAACGGCGGAGAGAGTGTTGTAGCGTTGTATAAACCTCCAAACATGATGGCAGGAGCAGTACAAAACAATTCAGGTAAAATAAACCTCAGATGTTAGGATTTAATAGTTCAAATTATAAAATGTTTATTTAAGATTAAAAACCTTCTTTTAATGAAACATTTCTTAGAATTCTGCTACAGAGGAGTTCTGGCGTTAAGATTTAAATGCCGCCTTTTCCTTGACTTTTTAATACAACAATAACTGTTTCGTTTTTAGTTTTTTTTTTCTGTAATTACTTTTTTCTTTTCTTGATTCGCAGTGCCAATGATCACATTAATCTTTTCTCAAAATAAAAAATCAGCTTGATTAAGAAAACCATTCTTTTAGAATAATTTTTTTTAGGTAACGCTCTTGTAGGCGGAGCCGGTGGAGTGGGTGGAGCTAACCTGAACCCTGTTGCTATGCGCAAGGCTCCAACAATGCCTAAACCCCAATGGCACGCTCCCTGGAAACTATTCCGTGTTATATCTGGACACATGGGTTGGGTTCGCTGCTGCACAGTGGAACCTGGAAACGAATGGTTCGCCACGGGCGCCGCTGACAGGGTGATCAAGATCTGGGACCTGGCTAGCGGGAAGCTGAAGCTGTCCCTGACCGGTCACGTGAGCGTGGTCCGAGGTTTAGCTGTGTCTCCCCGCCAGCCCTACCTCTTCTCCTGCGGGGAAGATAGGCAGGTTAAGTGCTGGGACCTGGAGTACAATAAGGTTATCCGACACTACCACGGACATCTTAGTGCTGTCTACGATCTATCCATTCATCCTACTCTAGATGTTCTCCTGTCCTGTGGTCGAGACTCCACCTGTAGGGTTTGGGATATGCGTTCTAAAACTAACATACATACACTCTCCGGACACACAAACACGGTCACCAGTGTTCTTTCTCAGGCCACCGACCCGCAGGTCATCACCGGAAGTAACGATTCGACTATTCGTCTTTGGGATCTGGCCGCCGGACGATGCATGGCCACCCTCACGAATCACAAGAAATCTGTGAGAGGATTGGTAATGCATCCTAAACTCTATATGTTCGGGAGTGCAGGACCTGATAACATCAAGCAGTGGAAGTGTCCAGACGGAAAGTTTATTCAGAACCTGTCTGGACACAATGCCATCGTCAACTGTCTGGCGATGAACGCCGACGGGGTTCTGGTGTCCGGCGCCGACAACGGAACCATGCACTTCTGGGACTGGAAGACTGGATATAATTTCCAGAGGTTTCAGGCTCCGGTTCAACCTGGATCTCTGGACTCAGAAGCTGGAATTTTCCAGATGAGGTTTGATCACTCAGGGTCGAGGTTGATCACGTGCGAGGCCGATAAGACGATTAAAATCTACAAGGAGGATGATTCAGCATCTGAGGAAACGCATCCAATCAACTGGAAACCAGAAATTCTAAAACGACGTCGCTATTAACTTCAATGTTAAAATGTCAACGCTTTTCAACTGTATCAGTGTATACAATTACATAATTTTTTTTTCATCGTTTTTCACAATAATTCGTACTAATCTGTTATTTTCAGATGAACCTGTAAAATGATCAGAAACCTTATATCTGGGCTGCTATTAGCCCTGTTGGATTCCACTGGATCCGTCCTGGGTACAGAACTTGACTCCGGGTCCTGTTTACAGCTGGGGTTTAACTCCGCCAAGCTTCTCTGCTCCTCCTGTGATGATCTGAAGCAGTTTGATCTGGGAGCGCTGTCAGATGGATGTTTGAAGTGCTGCACGCGAGATGCAGGAAGCGCGAAGTTGGAGAATACCAAGTATGAGCGCGCTATCCTGGAAGTTTGCGGATGACGACTGGGGGCGTACCCGCAGGTATACAGTTCTCGGTCTTATTTTTTGGGAAGGGGGGGGGCGATAAAAAAAAATGGATATCGAATGGCACGTTTTATCCCTTTTTTGATTTGTTTTATCCGAAAATCTTCCACAATATATTCAGTGATTAAAGAAAATTAATTACCTCTGTACTTTGCAGTTTATTAAATTATTTTAGAGAATTTTTTTTTTATATGTTAATGTAAAAATGAAGTTAAAGTATTTGCCCTTTCCTCTTTAAACAATTAAAGATTGTAATTGTAAATTGATTTATTTGTTTCCAGGTCGCGGCGTTCATCAAGAGCGAGCGACCCGCGAGGTACCCTGGTCTGACCATCAAGTATGTACGTGGTGCAGATCCTATCATCAAGCTTCTAGATGAGGAGGATGAGGTGGCAGAGGTAAAAGTTTGTAAGACCCCCCCCCCCTTCCCTCTGTAAAATACACCTTCCTAAATGTGGGGGAGGGGAGTCTTTTTGAAGATATGAAGAAAAAATAAAATATTAATACTGAATTTCTTGAATTTTTTTACCTTTTTTCTTCCTTCAAAAGTAGCAGAAATTCGAAGTTTTTATTCAGTGTAAATTCTACTATATATCCCGAAATAAAGAAATCTTAGAAATTTTACTTCCGTAAAATAAAAGTTTTACTTTCGTGATTTCTTGTACCGAGTTTGTAAGAAAAATTAAATTCTCTGCAAATTGTGTTTTTTTTTAAATTTCTGAAAAAAATGCTATTGTTTAGACCCTGGCCATCGACAAGTGGAACACCGACTCTGTCGAGGAGTTCCTGGACACCGTCATGGTCAAGGCGGAGGAGAAGAGCGAGATCGAGACGAATGAAGTCTAGGATTGATATTTTCTATTGCATTTGAGTTAAAGTGTTTATTATGTAACTAAGCTGTTGAACACCCCCCCCCCCCCCCCGATACACATTTATTCACCTTTTTTGTTAAAATTAAAAAAATATTAAATTTTTATCTTTACTTATCTTTTCTATCCCCTTACTTAAATGTCTTAAACAGCTGATGCTTTTGTTTTTTATCGTTAAACTTAGTTAATCCTAGTTTAATGTCACAAAATTTTATTTTTCTTTGATTTTATTTGAAACGTACTGTGATGAGTTCCAAGTTACACCTGGAGTAGAACGTATGATGACTTCATCCTAAACTTTGGATGGAGTCGGATACCAGCTAAGGCTTGGTTCTACTCCAATATGTAAACTATGTTTGTATTTTCACAATAAAAAAATTACCTAAATAATATTTTGATTGAGAGAAAGTTGTGCCATTTTTTTACAGTATTTGTCTTTAACACCCTTCTATCTACATGTTTTGGATTTTGGCTTTGATTAGGGCTAAACCTGTTTACAAAAGTGCTTTTAAGATTCCAAATTTTCTATCGTAATTTCAACGACTCTCCATTTTAAGAGGCATGCCCGATTTGAAATCGTATCTTATAAAAGATTTGGAAGATATCGTCGTTTTCTAAGTTCTGACAATTTTCTTCAATGTTTCTACAGCACAGATCTGAAAGTCATGTTTGATGAGAAACCGCAATTAAAAATAAATTTACAGTTCAGACAAAGCTTTTCATGGTACAGGGTGTCCCACGAAACATGACAGTATGCAAGACGACTTGAATATCGTCTTGATTTTTGATATAATTTACTGCATTTATTTGTCAACCTAATTTAAGCAGTAAATTTTTTAGAGATAATAATCACAAAATTCCCCTAGTCCTGCCATTTCCAAAATGTGGTCTGCATTTTTTTGCTCTCAATAATGCCCGAGATATGAACAATTTCGTTCAGATTGCGACAATTTTGCTTTTATTTAACAAAATTGAAATCTGAACTAAACTCTTTATATCTCCGGTAATATTGAAAGCACAAAAAACGCAGACCACTTTTTGGAAATGCCAGGGCTCGGAGAATTCTGTGATAATTGTTTCAAGAATCATACATGTTAAAGTAGATAGAAGACTAAATGTCACAAATAAATTCAAATATCAAAGACGGCTTTCAAGTCGTCTTGCTATTGTCATGTTTCGTGGGACACCCTGCATCTTTGTTAATCGGTCGTGCCAATCTAAATAGTCATTTAAAATTACGTCTATGGTCTCTTTTTAAGTGTCATTTTCTACTTATTTGGATTTAAACAGATATCCGACATTTTCTTGCTTATCCAACAAAAGCATTTTGGAAAATACGCAAGATTAAACGGTTAGGAGTTCGGTAAATTTATAGTTTGAAAAGAAAGATTTGAAACCTCAACAAATTTTCAGATGAAATGGTTGTTTGCAGACAGTTCGGACTAAATATTCTAAACAAGTCGACTATAAGACATTTTGACTACAGCACTTGTTCAAATATTCTTGAATCAAAGTTGTTAAGAACAAAACATTTGTTAAAATATAACAAACTTTCTAGTGACATTGCTTCACAAGATTCAAAACAAAACTTAAAACAAACTGATATTCAAAGATTAAAAAGTAAAAGTAGTGTTTACATTCATTGGCCGTACTGTAGAAGGAAATGTACGTACTGCAACTTTAACAAGTATGTAGCGAAGAAGGTTGACAATGAGAGTATGATCGCCAGTATCCTGCAGGAGTGGGAGACAGTTTCCCGTGAGACCGGAGTAAATCAACCAACTTCAATATTCTTCGGAGGAGGAACTCCTAGTCTTATGCAACATAAAGATATAAGACAAATAATTAGGAAACATTTGATTAAATTTATTACTTAAATGGAAGACCTGTTCAACTTATAGAATGGATCTAAAAGATTGGAGGGTTTGGAATTGTGTAGCTTCAACGACACATTTCCATAATTTAAAACAGAAAAGTGATCTTTTACCAGAATGGACAGGGAGTGAGTCGACCAATAAGTATGTTTACATTTTAATAAGCTAATTATTTTCTAAGAAACAAAAAATTTAACCTGCAGACCTTTATAATCTATTCATCTTGTTAATAACATGTTTTATTTCTGTAACAGTTTTGCTAAGCCTTCGATGATAAATTTTGAAATGTGTGGTGACTGGATCATCAATCAATCAATCAAGCATGTTTCAGTCACATCTCAGGAGGCTCTGATATTGAAATATCGTTGGAGGCCAATCCTTCCGATATCCTTGAAACTGCACTGGAGTTCAAACAGGCCGGAGTAAACCGTCTTTCTCTTGGTATTCAATCCTTCCAGGACACAACCTTACAGTTCTTTAACCGGGATCATGATGCGGAGACGGGACAGAGAAGTTTAGAAACCTGCTTGAATGTCTTTGGCTCTAGGAGAGTATCTGGGGATCTTATATTCGGAGTTCCGGGGCAGACGGTTCAGGATTGGTTACAGGAACTCCGGGTACTGGTTAGCTTAGGTAAATTTGTAGCTTCAGGAACAGTTACAAGAGCTCTGGGTTCTGATTGGTTTGGGTAAAATGGTAGGTTCGGGACTGGGTATAGGAGCTCCGGATACTAAATCAGTATAGGTAAAGAGCTCCAGGTACCTTAATAAGCTGACCGTTATACATTTAGGAGTTCATCATATCTCTACCTATCAGCTGACCGTTGAGCGAGGAACTCTGCTGCATAAGCAGGTTTATTTTACACAACCATAGATATTATTTTTAATGAACCTTAAAATAGTACTGCCTAGATTTATCAAATTTTCATCATTGGAAGCTTATAGCAACTAAAAGATGTCTACTTAGTTTCGTTGATATACTTATTTAATAATGATTTAAGGGGGGAATTTTTTTTGTGACAACTGGAACTAAATTCAATAATCTATATAGAGTGTCGCAATAAACACTTAACATGGGACTTATGTGCCGACTTTCAAATTGTCTTTTATCACCATGGCATTTTTGCGTGAAAATGTTAAGTATTCCATTTTAAACGGTTGATTTAAAAGACTACTGGTCTAGGGGTTCTACATATAGTGTGGTCTGGTATTTTTGTAACTTTAAAATTGACGGAGAAATTGTCATGGTTATAACTCAAAAAAGATTTACATTGTAATGTATTATCTCTGGCAGTATCGAAGACTAAACAAAGATGACCACATTTTGGAAAGCATTTGAGACCTAAGATCTAAAAAAAAGATTTGTAAGTCGACTCTGAAATCTCACGTTTACTAGGACTTCCTGTACCAAGCTAAGATCATAAGTGATAGGCGATTATAATACAATGAAGATGAATTTTGATTTCAATTTTTTATTTAGATCATGCTGTTAAACAGCACGGATACACATAAACATAGAAGTCAAGAGAAGCTTTCATTTAAAAAGCTTCTGTTTCATTACTTTTAAACCAGTAATTCGGAAAAAGCTTGTTATCAATAAAAACTTGTATAAAAAGTCGTCTTTATTATATTGATATAATCTCCTACCACTGTAGGTTAAAACAGGTTCCGCTCGACTACCTGGAGAAGAAGAGCTGGCTGACCTATACCTAGCTGGGGTTCAGCTCCTCACCTCCGAGGGGTTTAACCGGTACGAGGTGAGCAGCTTTGCCAAGGAGGGAGCAGAGTGTTCACACAATATCTCGTACTGGAGAGGACACCAGTATATAGGACTAGGTATGAGGATTTCTTGTCTCATGTTTTTGAAAAGATTGTTTATAAATCACAATGCTAAGTAGAAGATACTTAAAACATAAATTTAAGGCGTTCCCTTAATTAATGTACGATTCAACAGTACCCTATACAACTTTTGCTGATCAAGGATAAATAAATTATCCTTATTTACTGAGCGGAAATTTGATTTATTTCAATCGTAATTTCTCTGTAAAATGTGTCTTACGGATCCAGAAACAAAGAAGGAAATAAAAATAATGGTGCACCTTTTAATAGAAAACCATGATATCTTAATTATTAATACTCATCTAGAGGTTTAAATGGTACCGTTGTGAGTCAGACATGCAACTCTTTTAAAGTAACTGATAATTTTTTCGGTTCTAAGGAACATTTAAGGTACTTAAACAGAAGACTGAATTTTGCATCAACATAAAACACGTTTATACTGGATCCGTTTTCTTTTTTGATGGAATCTATTTTTTAAGGCCCTGGTGCCCATAGCAGGGTTGGGTTCGGAGCAGAGAGAGAAGCGCGGATAAACGTACTTGCTCCGGGTCGGTGGATGAACCAAGTTGAGAGCACCGGAGACGGGATAGTTCAGCGGAGAAAACTTGATCTCCTGGAGTGTCTGGGGGAACTCATAACTACAGGTTCTAAATACAGGGTGTCACAATGAAAATGGAAATTCCAGGATGAGGAAAATTTTGTATTCCTCTTTTGAAGAACTTAGCAGGGGTATACACTATACATGGTGAGCAAAAAAAACTGGGATTGACGTTGATCTACACAACAATTATTTCTTTCTCATGTTTCAGGCTAAAATATATTAAAATCAAAATGCAAAATTGTTTTTGAACATCGTAAAAAAATCTGCACAACACTGCGTGTATAAAAATATTTCTTAAGAAATTAACTAAAAAATATTTAGGCTATTTTTATAAAAATCTTATGATAAATTAAAGAAATATAACGAAAAAAATCCGCCAAAAACTGTTAGTGCAAATCTGCACAATTTATAAGAAATTAAATTCAAAATATGCATTTACTGTTTATAAATCCTCCCTATTATAAATCACAAAATTGTTTCATTAGAAAATTCCATTTTACCATGTCAGCAAGATTTGGGAGCAGATTTGTATTGATACAATTTTGTGATAAATCTTTTAATTGTTGATACAATTTTTTGAAACTTGAGAATATAGAAGAATAAGGATTTTCAAACTGATTTCTGAAGAAAAAAACCATATTTTACCCCAAAACAAAATAGTTTTGCGGATTTCTTTTATCATTACTATGTAGCAAAACATATTTTTGCAGTTGGTTCACGATACCTTCATATATCTCCTGAAACCTCCAAATTTTTTGTATTGTAAAAAACGCAAATACCGTTTTTTTGGTGACTCGCCCAGTATATTTTCTTGAAAAAACATCTCATAGGGGGTGAGAAAATGATGTTTTCACCATTTAAATGCATGTTTATTCAATTTTAGAATTTTGTTTCTAGGTCTACGGAGAAGTGTCGGGATCAATGGGAACGATTGGAACACTCTTTCTCAGAACCTTCTTCCGTTCCAGGATCTTATATCGGAGTTGAACCGAGTACAAGAAGACAAGGAGCGGAGCGGAGAACTGGAGGGGCTAGCCTGGAGCCAGGACGGGGTTTGGTTGGATAACTCGGCTCTTAATATCGCGGATCATATTATTCCTAATCTATATTACGTACTTCAAGATCTGATCAAATTTCAGTAAATAAAATTTAAACATAATTTTATTTGTTATTTTTATCTCAAGAGGATTTTATATACTATTTATGGAGAAATTTATTTTTATTTCGCAAAAAGTGAGTGATAATTCTAATGTTTTTACTCATTAAAAAAATATATTTTTCTCAACGATGGTTTCTCTTTGAAATTTTGTGTTTTCTTGAAGAAAAATTGTGATAGTCACTTTTGCGGAAAAACCGCAATTGAAAATAAGAAATGCGAGAGTCACTTTTATGCAGAAACCGCAATTGAAGAAAAGAAAATGCGAGTCACTTTTATGCAGAAACCGCAAACGAGGAGAAGAAAATGCCAGTCACTTTTAAGGAGAAACCGCAATTGAATATTAGAATGCGAGAGTCACTTTTATGCAGAAACCGCAATTGAAAATAAGAAATACGAAGTCACTTTTTTGGAGAAACCGCAATTGAAGAAAAGAAATGTGCGAGTCACTTTTAAGGAGAAACCGCAATTGAAAATAAGAAATGCGAGAGTCACTTTTGTAGAGAAACCGCAATTGAAGAAAAGAAATGCGAGAGTCACTTTTGTAGAGAAACCGCAGTTGAAACTAAGAAATGCGAGTGACTTTTGTGGAGAAACCGCAATTGAAAATAATCAGTTTCCAATTTAGTCAACATTTTTACCAGTAGTAAATTGGCAGTTCCATGGAAAATAACTTTAAAAGCTTATATTCCATGTATATTCCATATATAGCAAACGAAAATTGATAAAATTGGCAAAGCTGACGCAAAGTGAACAGACTCCATAAAAAAAGTCATAACGTATGATCCAATTTGATTTGGAGCACTCTGTATATCAAGAACTATTGTATATTTTTGCAAATCCAGAGACACAAATTAGATCGTAATTTTCTCCAAATTAGATGAAAATACAATAAGAAAATAAGTCAATATTATATTTACTTAATAATTAATCAATCATATGTATTGATGTATACAAAATATAATCTAATCACTCATTAACACGAGTACAGAAGGAAATTTGTCACAATAATTTGTCAACATTGTTAAATCGATCAGAAAACACAGTTCTTTAATCAATAAAGTAAAATTACAATGAGAAAATTACAGTTAGGAGGGGAAAGGGGGGGGTGTTAAGCAGAAAAAGCAAATTGTTCAAATAGGTCAATTTTTTAACACCCAATTCGTTATTGTAAATTTGTTCATAAAACACCCAACAGTTGGGTGACATTTGGTTGTATGAGGGTGACTCCCCTTGAAAAGAATGAATTTTCCATATCTGTGCTGAGCCTGTAAAATAAGGAAAACCAGAACATGATCTTATAGCGTTCTCTTAATTCAATATCACATGTTTCTGCATTATATATTAATATGTAATTAGTGACCTAATCTCTAAGGGTAGGCCTGTTTGAACTGGTTAAATAGGAATTATATATGATAATACTTGAATGAGAGTCGGAAAATGAATGTATTAGTTTAAATAGTATATGGAGAGGGGGGTTCTAGAGAACCCCTGTAGTTGTGGTGGTCCACAGTCTTGGAGCAGAAGGGGCCCGTCCTAGGCTACCATAGGCAGCCTGTCCCTTTCCGGGGGGAGGAGGAGGAGCAGGTGTTCGTTTTATCTGACTTCCATGTCGAACTGGAACTGAAATATTAATTGTGCAAGCAAGCAAGCCTGGTAGGAAGCCATGAGCTCAGTTATATCGAGATATTAGAAATATAAAAACTAGAAAATTACATGCACTATAAACAGGGTAAAATCAAATCAAACAAATTAAACAAAAACTAGAAAAAATCATGCTACATACACGGTTTTATTGTTAAGTTATCAAAACATGTTGCCTTTTTAAAGTGTAAAATAGATCAAAGTGATGAGAAATAAATATAGGTGATTTTTTTATATTTATCATTGATGGTGGTCGGGGGGAAAAAATAACATTTAACTTCATTAAACAGAAGAACTGGTTCTTTATTAGGCACAAAATCAACATTAAAATATTACAGCGACAATCAATTTTTTGAATTATTAATTGGGACAGTGCAGAATTAAAACAATGCCATATTCTTTATATTGAATCATTCTGACTTATTGTCTGTTAGTAATGTAACAACTTTTAAAGTGGCACTTGACGAGTAAGTAATTTGTTTTTAACAACAGGAATTCTCCACGAAATTTCAAGTGACCCATTTGAACAAGAAGTGCCATTGTTACATATTAATACCCTTTAATTTTTATCTGATGACATGTTAAAGCTATTTTTTTTTATTTTAATGTAAATTTGCGCTCTAAAAAGGCGAGACCTTGAAATAATTATTATTAAAGAGAAAACCAAGAACTGTATAAATTAAAGTGTAAGTGATATATTGATTGAAGTCGTAAATGTGGAGTGATCAGTGATTACTTCTAACCCAAAAAAAAACGCTAACCCTTTTTTAAATAAAAATCAAATTACCTTAATCATTCATTATACATTGTAATGCACTTAATGTTTACAGTAATCTTAACTATAGTTTGCGTGTCTTAACTCATTAAAAATAGTTTTATCTTATTTTTGTAATTCATTTTTTAAATTGATTTATAATTGAATGTTAGGTTTAGTTTTCAGTAACCCTACATTTTCAGAAGAAATAATTATTTCTTTAAGAGGAAAAAAGAAAAAAATTATTTCCTGGAGAAGAAAAAGAAAATTTTCCTTATGAGGAAAAAAAAAGTAAAGACGGTTCTATTTTGATAAAAACTTTTCATAAAACTTAGTGGGGAGAGGGAGATCTCTAAAAAAAACGGTGCAACAACAATGTAAAAATCCTTAAATTACAACAAAACAAAATTAATAACTTTAATATTGGTTCAAATTGATCTTTCAAAAATCCTATGATCTTTTTAAGTTTCACAAGACTCGTCAAAAAAATATCTTGCTTACTTAAACTAAAGATATATATAGTAAATAAATTAAAGATAATGAAAGCCAGTAATTTTATAACAATCGTATGAATCGAACAAATTTTTCAAGTTGCTTTTAATTTCCTTGTAGGTTTTCGACAAATTTTTTATCGGTCTTCTACTATAAAAAATAATTCTTAAATTCCTACATAGCGTACTGTATAATTGGAAATTTTTTACAATAAATTAAAAGGGTTGATAAAAGAGGTGAAGAAAAAAATTAGTAAAGCTAAAAAACTAACTACATTTAAATTATAACTGCAAATCATCCTTTCACGTTTATTATGAAGGATTTACACGAGCATCTCTAAGCATGCACCATGTTATGTTAAGTAGTCAATTAGTTTACAGCATGCAGAAAATTGCCTCATTAACAAAGCATGCATTACACCAACATGCATGATTGCCAAGTTAACAATTACTTGTGTTTTTGCTTGGATATGTTTTCTGACAACCGCTAAATGGTTCCGGAGGTGGGAGAAACTGCGGAGCCTTAAACCTCGAGGAGAACCGGGATTCGAAACTTTCTCCGGTGGAGGAGGCGGAGCTGTTGTATCCTGAGGAGTTGTGTCCTGCTCTATACATACTATCCCGTCGCGTCGGAGGCGTCGGAGGATCTCCACTCAACTGAGAAAAAAATAAAAATTTTACTAATATTAAAAAACTTGTATCTAAAAAGATCTGAACTGGAAACTCTAGAATGACCGGAATGAGCAGACAGGCTCATGTTCTACTCCCAGACTGAAATCCCAATCCTACATCAAAACTTGGAAGGTTTCCCAAACACAGATAAGGTAATTTCCCCGCGAAGACTCATTGAGTTTTAGGTATTCACTTCCATTCAAAAGGTTACACCTGAATTTTGGATAAACTTAAAAAAAAACATGGTTATTGATTTAAAATTTTACATGTTGTGTTTCATATTTTGAAAAAATAGATAAAACGCACAATTTTAAGTTTAACTATTTTTTTTCAATCACTGATTATTTAGACTAAATGTCATGAAAATTCCTTCTTCTTTTGTAAGCGGTGGTAGACTAGATTATTTCATAATCCAAATAAATGGGTATCTTGTATTTTGAAATTTACTTAAATTTTAAAAGTTCTAACAGTTTGTTTAAGGGGGGGGGGGCACAAAACGTATTACTCTCCGGAAAATTTAAACAGTGGTTAAACATAACTTAGAATTGTCGTAGGAGGTTTATTTTTTGCATGCAAACTCAGAATTATGTATATTACATGCATTTTTTGGTTTTGAAGGAATCTGAGCAAAAGTGCGCGCGCGCGCGCTTTTTGTGAAAAAATGCGACTTTTTTGACAGTAAATCAATGTTAACTTCATTAATTGCACTTGAAAATTTTTCCTGACACTCTTGAAACAAATATGCGCTAAAAAGATTCAACCCCAAAGGCTTAAATGTCCGCGCGCGCGCGCAATAAAAGAAAATATCTTTGAATACTTATGTGCTAAGTTTGGCCCAAGTTAGAATAACAGTTGCATGTGATACATCAAACTATAGCAAAATTGGGACAAGGAATTCATTTCCGAGGTCAAAAT